TAAAGGTCATGATGGGGGTGAGTGGGGGGGGGGGAACTGGGACTATTGGTGGTGGGAAATGTACACTGGTGAAGAGACAGGTGTTGGAATGTTATATAACTGAAACCCAATCATGAACAACTTTGTAACTGTGTATTCCAATTTAAAAAAAAAGATGGAAGGACCATCAAGAGTTCAAGGCTTTCCCTGTGACAAGGCCCAGATTAACTTTGATGCAAACAGAGAACCCCAGGCCAAGGCAATTTGGAGAAATTGTAGATGACCTTATCCTGAAAGCTTTTTCCACTCTGGAGAATCCCATGTTCTCTCTCTCTCTCTCTCTCTCTCTCTCTCTCTCTCTCTCTCTCTCTCTCTCTCTCTCTCTCTCTCTCCCCTCACATCTTTCCAAACTTCTTTTAATTATTTAGATCTTTTGCTTCCTCCTGGGAATTCTTTCTGTGAGGGATGACAACGGACCTGAGACGCCCGCACCAAAGTCAGAACTGACTTTCCTTTCCTGCAGAGAGCAATTCCTCACTCCAACGGGTGTCCGCAGAGAGAATCCGGGTGGTGGGCACCCGTTCCCACGCTGTTCAGAAAAAAGTGGGCTTTGGGCGCAGCGTGACAGCTGCCTCGTGGGGCTGGTGGGCCGTGAGCATCTGTGCTGTGTAGGTGCATAGAGCAGACTTCATCAGTCCTGAGCCAGGCCATGCGTTTCCCAGGGTGGCCGAGGTGGGTTGAGCAGAGGTTTGCTGCAGGCTATCTCCCTTACTCCTCACTTTATGAATTGCCCTGCAACAATAGCTTCTATAAATGAAGCCTCCGTGGTGGGGCTTCTCAGTATCTGTATCTATTTCATTTTCATCTCTTATTGCTTCATGTTAGCCTTTAAAGCGATGTTAATATGAGGGATGGGAACCAGCATCTCAATCTTGTTTCTGAATTGAATGAAGGTGACTTGAGTACTTTTCCAGTTCATGCTAGTAGCTGTGCTGTTTTAAGTAGCAAGTATTTGTTCTCCCCTAGGGGCCAGTCAGGTTGAATGAGAAGTAGAAATGTCTGGGAATTCAAATGAACAAAAGTATTCCACTGGTGGAGGGATGGGTACTTGATCATTGTATAACTGAAACCCAAGCACAAAAACTTGTAGTCCACAACTGTACCTCATGGTACCTAATAAAAATTTAAAAAAATAAAAGATGTATTAGAAAAATTAAAATAACTAACTTAAAAAAAGTATTCCAAGAGGGCAGGAATGATGTGAAGAGATGAAGAGGAGAAGAAAGAGAAAGTTTGAAAACCAATCATTAGATTTTAAAGCACAGAGGTCACTGATGATTTGGGCAATAGCCGTTTCCATGGGGATGAGGGATGAGAGACAGAGAGACAGAGAGACAGAGAGAGATAGAGACACAGAGACAGAGACCAAGACAGAGAAAGACAGAGAGACAGAGAGAATTGTACAAGAGAAGTGGGAGACCCTGAGCTGAGGCAAGTTTTCCTTTGCTGGTGTTTGCTGTAGAGGAGAGAAGAGACTTGGGTGAGCATTGGAGAGGAATGCAGTCAAAGGAGATTTTGTCTTGTTTCTTAAACATGGGAAACATTAAACCATATCAAAAGGCTGCTGCTTATGACCCAGTGGTGAGGAAAAACATGATCAAAGAGAGGGGAAAGCCTTTGTAGGGGGAGGCCCTTAAGTGAGTGAGAGGGAGTGGGGCATAGCTGAGGGTGGCTGTGGGTGGGACCGGGACCACTTTACAATGAAGGAAGGAAGGAAGAGAGGCAGAAGACAGCAAAGGACAGATGTCAAGAGGGCATCCTTGGGGCTGGAGTGATAGCACAGTGGGTAGGGCATTTGCCTTGCACACGGCCGACCCGAGTTCGATTCCCAGAATCCCATATGGTCCCCTGAGCACCGCCAGGAGTAATTCCTGAGTGCATGAGCCAGGAGTAACCCCTGTGCATTGCCAGGTGTGACCCAAAAAGCAAAAAAAAAAAAAAAAGGGCATCTTTCTTGGTACTGTTTCTCATTGGTGAGAGGAGAGAGAGAGAGAGACAGAGACAGAGACAGAGACAGAGAGACAGGGACGGAGAGAGAGAGGCAGAGAGACAGAGACAGAGAGGGATAGAGAGGGAGAGAGAGAAGTGGAGAAGTGGAGGGAGAGGAAGGAGGGGTAAGGGAGAGATTAACTGAGATATAGATAGATAAAAGAGAGAAAGGGAGAGAACAGGTCAATAGATCAGACCTCCCCCAAGTAGGGACAACCCAAAAGGGAGAAGACAGGGGCCCAGGCCAGGCTGTACCTCTGCCCCTGCTGTGGGCTATCCACTCTCCAGACGTCAGGATTCACTTAGTTTCTTAAACATAACTCGAACTAACCCCGGAGAGAGGCCAACAGTAAAGATGTGTCCCCTGAAGCCCCTCTTGCGGAGGAGGGTGGGTGGGGAAGACAGTGCTCCATTAGCCTCTGCTCCACCCAGACCCCTCAGAGGTGGTTATCTGAGAGAGATTCCAATGTGGCCAGCCCAGTGCTTTGGTTCATTCAGAAGCTGCAGTAATATTACCATGGACATTTAATTGTCGCCTGGAGGCAGAAGGTCCAGGACCAAGGTGCTGGCAGATTTGGCGACTGGTTCATAAAAGCCAGTCCTCCCCCTGTGTCCTCCGATTCCAGTCTGGCAGGACACTGGTCCCATGCCCCAGGGTGCCAAGCTCAGCCCTCTTCGCCTCCCAAAGCCGCCCGATTTCCACTACCTTGACATGGAGGATTCCATTCAATGTGTACTTTTTTTTGTGGGTGCACCCCAATGTTCAACTTATGGTGGAGTTTTCTAAAGTGGGTGATTCCGCGTTCGTTCTAGGATGGTCCTGAAGGAGTGGTCCTAGCCTTGGTGCAATCAAGAGGCACTTTCTCTTAATTCTCTCCAAGAAGGGAGATTTCCAGGGTCCATGTGTGGAAAGGGAGCAACTCTCCAGCTAAGTCTGGGGACCACTGGTCTACAGCAATGATGTTCAAGACATTGTAATGAAAACATCCTTCACAAGCAGGCAGGACTGTTTCCTGCTGAAGCCGACTTCCATAGATCTGGGCAGGCCTGACCTCACCATTGGGCTGCTTTGGACTAGCCAGGCAGAGGGGAAATGCTCATGGATTTTTGTGCTTAGAATGTAAAAAGTCCTGAAACGACCCGGTGCCCTTCCTAGCCCCTGGGGTCACTGTAGTTTCCCCCTGACTTAGCCCTGCCTGGGCCAGCTGTTTCTCTGAGAGTCTTCCCTTCCGGTCACCTCAAGGAGTAACCCGCATCCTGCCAGCACCCACAAAGGACAGCATGTGATACACGTGGCGGAGGGGGGGTAGATCCCCCCTTCTATTCTTTCTGCTGGCACTGTGGAGTAATGGATATTAAAATGCATATTTCACACCCTGTCCCACACATTGGAGATCGGCCATTCACTATGCATGAGCCATTCACTCAGGCTCATCACGGGGAGAAGGGAAGAAAATTACATTTTCCCAGTTGCCAAATGCAAGAGATGAATTGTCTCACGTGGGCAAGCACATTGCTCCCCAAAGCGGTTTCACAGAGCTAAGACACTCACCCGGAACTCCCAGGAGGGCGAGCCCGAATCCTGAGTCAGATGAACCCACCGGACAATTGCCCTAGTGGGGACACTTACCTTCCTGGCTTTTTTCTTTCTTTTTAAAAAATAATGAGCCTCCTCGGGGCCTCTTATTTTTCCTTCCTAGAAAAAACGTTATAAAAAAAAAAGGAGCAGATCAACACAGACCGCTTCATCTTTATGCATACCCACTGAATTGATAAATACTTTTCGGTAATGAGAATTAAAGAAGCAAAATGGTACAATGTTCTCTTGCGGGGGAGGGGAGGCTACATTAGAACGTCTTACCCCACATGGACACACGCGTCTTACAACTCTGTCCGTATGCCGACCAATTCTTTCTGGTTAAGGACGGTCCAGCTAACAGCTGTCCTTAGGATACCGCCCTTAATCTGTTACCTACATCCATGTGATTAATAGCAATTGTATCTACGGGACAATCTCAGCCACGTTTTTACCCTTCACAGTGTCTTCGCTCCTCTAACCACTTAGTACATTTAACATGGGCTCACGACTTAATTTTTGGTTTTGCCCACATGGCAGTCAGTGAGCAGCGCTGTGATTCCCCACGCAGGTTCTCTCGCATTATTACTGAGTTCCAGTTCGGTACCTGGACTCCTACTTGGCCGGGCAGATACAGGTGCGAGAGGAAGCAGAAACACCGCCAAAGACACAGTTGACACCCCCATCCCCCCACCCGCAGATGTCAAAGACAGATTCTTACTCTGAACTGGACTCAGGGAGGTGGGAAGGGGGTGGGGAGGAGGGAGGGCTCTCGGGCCGCTAAAGCCACGGGTGACCTCATTAGACAATTTTTGGGTTAGCCTCACTTTCTCTGCCCGGGGGAGCGGCCTGGGGTGCTTGCACTCCAAGGACTCCCCGAGTGGGGGGCGACCACTTTAGGTGTCCCCGGAAAAGCAGCGGCAAAACTACGCGCCCGGGGCCGGTTCGCACCAGCACCTCTGCGCCCCGTGCGCCCTCGCCTCGGGGTCCGGGTCCTCCCCCGCGTCCCCCGCCGACCTCGAGTCGGCTTCGGAGGAAGGGGGGCTCCGGAGGACCCCACAACCTCGCGGGGTGGGAGGGGGGTGCAGAGCGCAAAAGGCTCCCCTCTCCAGGCGGGAGTGCGGAGCGGCTTTTCAGGTGGGCTCCGGGGGGCGGGGGAGGGGGCTTGCGGCTGTGCCAGGCTCCCCCACCGGGACTCGAGGAAAAGCGGGCGCCGGGGGTCCCCCAGCCCAGGTGAGGCGTCGCGGGCGGGGGCGGCGGCGGGGAGGAGCGGCGGCCGCAGCAGGTGGGGGCGCGGGCGGGGGCGGGGCGCGCGCGGGGCGGAGCCGCGGGGCCGGGCGGGCGCGGGAGGCGCGGCGGGCGGACCGGGCGGCCGCGGGAGCTGGCGGCGCGCGGGGCTGGGACCGGCCTGGCCGAGCGCGCGGGCGCCGGGGCCGCAGACAAAGGCGCCGCTCGCGCCCGGGCCGTGGCGCCCTGGGGCTCTGGCGCGGGTAAGTGACGCCCCCCGGGCTCCCCTCTCTCGCCGCCGGGTGGTCCCGCACGGGTCGGAGTTTCGCGGGCAAGGTGGGCACCGACTTCCCCGCGCCCCCCTGCCCACCGCACCCCCGGCCGCGGGCACCCCAAACCACCTTCCCGAACTAGCGAGTTTCCGAACCGTGTGTGTGTGTGTGTGTGTGTGTGTGTGTGTTTGTCGGGGGGGGGGCACCGCCTCCTGCCTGGGGCGCCTCGGGGTCCGCGGGTCCCGGGGTTGCGGGCGAAGGTCGCGGCTGGGCTCCTCTGGCTTGGGGAGAGTTGGGGGGCGGTGCGTGGCGGGGAGGACGCGCGCGGCATCCCGCGCCGGGAGGGGACCCCGGCCGACGGGGGCGGTTCGAGGTGCCAACGAGTTGAGACTCGGATCTCCGGGTGGGGTCTGCCACAGGCCCCCCCGCGCCCCCCGCTCGGGGCATTCTCTCCTGGGGTCTCCCGAGCGTCTGGTTCAAGACCTGCCCCCACCCCCCCTTCCCGCGCGCTCCCCAGCCCCCAGCCTCTGCCCCGCGGGAGCCCCCAGGGCGGCGACTCGGGTCTCCGCTCCCCCTTAAACCCCCCAGCCAACCCCGGCGATTCTGAACCGGATCTGCGGGCCGAGGGTCGGGTTTGACAGCCGTGCGGGGGGGCCGACTCCCCTCCGATCCCTTTTTGGGGGGCTGCTGGGGTTCGGAGCAGCGATCGGAAGGCGGCTTGGCTTTTGCTTTTGTTCTGCGCGCTACTCTCGGGCGGCGGGGAGGCCGGGTGGGCGGATGCCGGGGGAGGCGCCCGGGCCGCTGCTCCAGGTGCGCCCCCTACCCCGTCCCCCAGGCGGCCGTGGGAGACTGCGGCCGCTCCCGGACCCTGGCCGATGGGCGCTAGCCCCGGTACCCCCCACTGCAGCCCGTAGCAGGGGTGCGCGGCGCCCCAGGGAGCCGGTGTGCGGGGCCCGGGCGCGCGCTGTCACGCGCCTCCCCAGCACTCTCGGAAGCGCATTTCCATTCATGGATCTGCGCCTGGGCTTTGATGAATGTCATCTCCGCCTGGGCGCCTGGAGGAGAATGTCTGTGTGTGCTGGTCTTGCGAGCAGCCTTTCTCCGGGGGGCCTCCTGCGCTGGGCAAGGCGGCTTGCAGCCAACACCCCCAGACCGAAGACACTTGCTTTATTGAGCACCTACTATGCGCAGTGCAGATGCGTTAGAAACTTTTCGAGTTCATAAATCGTTGTCGCGCAGCGAGCAAAGCTGATCTGCCCGCACCTTGGTTTCGAAGATACTTGTTGAGTATATTTAAGGTCAAAGCTGTGCTGTATGACTCGTGTTAGCATGTGTTCACCACACACCGATGGAGTGCAAGGGGCGTTGCCTCTGAGGGTGGACCCTTTTGGAGGAGACACGGAAGAGAGAATTTGGGACCCCCCAGATGGGGGTATATCTTCAGTCTTCGTTTCCTTTGATAAACTGCTCTCCATCCTTTCTGGCCTCCTGGCAGTGCAGGAAAGAGTCCCGCTTTCCCACCAGCGCTTCTCACCAGGCTGTGTGGTACTCTGTGACCTCCCAGTTTACTCCAAGGGGACCACAACTGAGAATAGAATACTTGCTGGTGGTGGTGGTGGTGGGGGGGGGGGGGGCAATGTCACAGCGTTAGACTAAGTGGGCAGACCTGTAGGATGGGGACAGCTGTTGGAGGGAAACCAGGTCAGAAGGGGGCCAGGCTGAGCAACACGGGTCTAACTGTCCCTGGTGGGTCTTCAGATGGGAACTGGGCAGAATGATGAAAGACTTACTCAGAACCGCCCTCCAGTTTCCTTACCCTGCAAGAAGAGAAGGCAACTCCTTCATCCCGAGCACAGCGCTGTTTACTGAGAACCTGGTCTTCAGTAGGAAGCTTGTGGGGTTGGGTTGTGGATCTGGGATAGGATGGTAGGGGGTCACTGGGACATGGCAGACAGAAACAGAAGCTCCGGTGGAGAGTGTGGTGCTGAAAAATTTTCTGCAGGAAACCCTCCCACAAACAGTTTTATAAACCACGATGCCTAAATTAAATTAAAAATTAAAAAAATTAAAAAGGTGTGCATGACTCTTACAGTCGAGCTCTGGGACTTTGGTGTCAGCAGACCCTGGGGTGGGAAGGAGCTGTCAGATCCGTCCCCTGGTTGCCCCCTATGGGGAATGATGTTGGGGTCCCTCCTGCTGAAGGTTTGGTGAATCTATTGCTCCGACAATCTTGGGATCCTGATACAGAGGGAATATCCAGATTGGCAAGAAAACAGTGTTCTTCAGTCCATTGGCAAATATTCGAGTGATTATAATATTACATACGACTGTGATGGGCAAAATAGTCTGAGACACAGTCTTTGTCTGAGGGGATGTGGCAGAGTTCTCAAGGTAGATTGTGGCCAGCACGCATGAACCCACAAGCCAGTTCTTCCTAGGATTTAATGTCAGGAAGAGCAATTATAGTCGGGGCTGGGGACTCTCCTTTATCAGAGAGAAAGAACTTGCTCTCTGCTTGCCTGTTTGTCTTTTACCTTGGCCTCTAGCAATTCCAACGCTCCCTGAGCTTCTTGCTACAATGCTTCTTTTCTTAAGTGGTTTTTGAGCTGCCTGGAAAAAAATTTCTTTTTTTTTTTGCTACATTAGATTGTGTGAACTTGAAAGACCCCTCACATCTTTTCTGGAAGTAGGCCAGAAAGATTCACAAAAGATGCATGGCAGACCCGCAGGGAACATGCTGAACACCCAGTAGGAAGAAGGAAGAGGGAAGAAAACCCAACAGATTCCGGAAAATCAGGACTGCTGGGAGGAAACCCACTGACCTCAGGAGAGAGAGCAAGGCCTCACCCTGAGAAACCTCCCTCCCCCTCTCCACCCTCCCCCCCCCCCCCCCCATCCAAGGAAATTGTGTTGAAGTGAGGTGTGAGGAGAACAAACCCTCTTTAGAGAACTTTAGGAATTTGATAGCTGGTCACTGGAGTGTTTCCATTCATTCACCAGAGCGTCACTGTGGAGCATTTTACTGTGCCCGTGGCCTTGATGTGTGTGTGTGTGTGTGTGTGTGTGTGTGTGTGTGTGTGTGTGCACCCAGCAGATTTTGGGGGTCACTGTGAATCCCCAGCTGGTGAGAACCCTGTCTCCTAGCAGGTTCAGGACTGCATTGGGTTCTCCTTTTCTTTCGGACACTCTGGGAGGTTTTCTACCTGCTCTGAACTTAGTTGCTCTCTTCTCCCCAGGGGAGGATGTGACTTTCCCCCTCTCTGCCTCCATCCTGCCCCGGCTCAGGTGCCCGCTCCCTCGAGCAGATGGCATTTATTTTAGTCCTCAGTTCGGCCCATTTCTTCCTCCTGCCTCTGCCTCTCTTCCTGTTCTCTTCCTCTCCCCCACTCTCAGCTGTGGGGAAGCTTCTGTATGAATCTGGGGAATGGGGCAGTTGGAGGGGCTTTGTCTTCCTCCTTCTCTAGGGAGTATGAAAGTGGGCTTAATGTTCTCTCTGGTAGGGGTCTTGGTACTTTAAGCCTCATTTTGGAATGGAAGTCTCTGTCACCCATGAGCGGATTTCAACATTGGCGTTGGAGGAACTTGGACAGGCAAAGAGCCTTTCCTGGTAAAATTACGCCACCACCACCCTGCAAAGCCGTGCGCAAAGGTCCTTGTGCCCCCCCGCACCCCGCCTCCCATCCCCCCATGCATGAAAGCTTTGATGAGAATGTGCTGGTGATGCAAGCCAGTGGTCGGCCTGGCCTTCACGCGCTCCTCTGAGGTTGAGAGGCTAATCATTTGTGAGGCCTTGGGTTCAATCCTGGTGTGAATCATCTTCCAGCAGGAAACCTTTTTTCTTTGCTTACAGCGTGCTATTGGAAGGCGGGAAGGCTCCTTAGCTGATGGTGGGCTGGATGAAGCTTTGTCACGGGTGAGAGAAGACCCGACCTGTGCACTGTGGGATGTTTATAAGCTCTCTTGATTTATCAGTATCCCACCCTTCTTTCCTCACATTTGGCATAAGTGTAATCCTTTAGAATTGATGATTGGTTCCATCAGAATTGGATGATCTGGAAATGAGACCAGTCAGCCGACTCTGTCTCCATTCTCTGGCATCCAGGAGGATGGAATGGCATCGTGACAACCTGGTGACAAAGTAAACAGACAAACCTGTGAGTCCTAGCTCAGCCTTGTGACTGTGCCAACCCACTTGACTTCTTTCAGCCTCAGTTTCCCCATGTGTAAATGGGGCAAGACCAGTTGGTCATTGATTCATAAGATCCCTTGCAGGCATAATCTTTGTAATTGGTCAGAGATTTGACCCCAAATCTACAAATCGTCTTTTTAAAATTTGCTTGTTTTATCTTTTTTTTTTTTTTGGAGGGGGAGGGAGGGATGCCACCCCAATGGTGTCCAGGGCTTATTTCTGGCTCTGTGCTTAGGGATCACTCCTGACAGAGCTTAGGGGACCATATGTGATGCTGACAATCAAATTCAGGTTGACTACATGTAAGGCAAGCACCTTGCCTGCTATATTACCTCTTAGCTGTCCAAACAGTGATTGACTCTTGAAAAGTGTTAAAAGTAAGACCATATCACTTCAAATGCTATAGAAAACTAGTGATTGAAAAGAATCCAGGGGCCAGGAGATTATACACAAAGAAATAAGATGCTTGCTTTGCATGCAACTGATCCGGGTTTGATCCCTGGCACCCCATACGGTCCCCCGAGTCCCACCAGGAGTGATCCCTGAGCACAGGTGGATATAGTCCCCAACCAAACCAAATGAACAAACAAAAACTCCTTGATATGCTGTTGAGAGCCTTGTAGAGAGCCTACTTCTTGGGGTGGGTCTAGCTGTTTGGGATCCCACCTATGAGCATGTAGGAGCACACCAGTTTTAACCAAAGGGGTG